CGTGCGTGCGATCCACCGAGGACACACGAGCTGGCGCATAAGCATGCGCGGGATCGGATGCCCTGGACATGTTGCGACCTCGTCATGCCGCTGGCTGAATCTGGCGAAGCGCCGCCACCTGCATGCGAGTGATGGTCGTTCCGCGCAGAAGGCTATCAAGAAAGATCTCATTTCCCGACTTCCTTGCCGGCAGCACGACGTTCCTCGCCACCATGGACGATGTCTCCCGCGTCATCCGTCTGCCTCCTTATCAGTACTTGCATGTCCTGGACACGAACATCAACGTGACGCGCGTCCTGTCGGGACCGCAGACGTACACTAGGCAGGACCACGAGAAGATCGTGGCCGGACCGTTCCCCATGCTCATTGTGCCGACGCAAAGCTTCGTCGTGATCGAGAACCCCGTCTTGAAGGACACGTCAGGTACATGCGCCCCTCGACGGCATCTCTCGCTGACACGATCCCGTGTCGTGGGTAGGAAATGTCGTGGTCGATCAATACGGCCAAGCCAAACTGCGCCACGGCGAGCGCGAGATTCGCATTGCAACGGCGTACCCCGACCCATTTCCTCTCTACTTTGGCGAAGTCCAAGCCGGCGCCGTCAACAAACTCACGGTCCTTGACGCCAACTCGGCGCTGCGCCTGCGTGCGAATCGAGACTTTGACGCGCACGTCGCGGGCGACGAATGGCAGTTTGCAGGACCGGCCACGTACATCCCTCGCGTCGAGGAGGACGTGATTGGATCGATCACGGCGACCGTCGTCAAGACGAACGAAGCGTTGAAGCTTCGTGCCGAGAAAAAGTGTGTCGATTGCTTTGGCAATGCGCGCGAGGCGGGCGAGGAGTGGCTTGTGCGAAGCCCGGGCATGTACTTACCTCGCGTCGACGAACGCATCGTTGGCATCGTGCATGCCACCATCTTGACGGACAAAACGTCGCTGTATCTGCGGGCATTGCGCACATTCAAGGACGTGTACGGCATCCAGCGAAAGGCGGGCGAAGAATGGCTCGTGTCGGCGAAAATGGCCGAGACACATGTGCAGGACGTCCATGAAGCCATTGTGGGCACGGTCCAGATCACGACATTGACAAATCGCCAGTACTGCGTCGTGGTGGACCCGGTCGTGAACGGCGTCCCAATGCTCGGGACGCGCGAGTTGCGCAAGGGCGAAGCGAGCTTTTTCCTCCAGCCCGGCGAATCCTTGGAAGGCGCGGGCATCCAGGACGTATGCCTGCTGGCCGACGACGAAGCGGTGCTGTTGCAAGCGAACGAGCGCTTTGTCGACGAAAAGCCCGACGGCACGACCGACGTCCGCGATGCCGGGGTCAAATGGATGGTCTATGGTCCGTGCGAATACATTCCGCCGATTTCGGTCAAGGTCGTGGAAATTCGCCAGGCGATCCCCCTCGACAAGAACGAAGGTACGCCGCCGTCGGTCGCACGCGTCACGCGTCGTCTGCATAGGCATTTACGTCCGCGACACCAAGTCTGGGAATGTGCGCGCTGTCACGGGCGCGACGTACATGCTGCAGCCGACGGAGGAGCTGTGGCCCAAGCCCATGGGCGACGAAATCGAAGACCTGCTCCAGATGGACTCGTACGTAGACGACGCGGCGCCCGTCGCCAAGGCCACCCGCGACCCCACGCGCGTCGTTACGTTTGAAGTGCCGCACAACACGGCGATGCAAGTGTACGACTACTCGTCGACGAGGTCCCGCATCATGTTTGGCCCGACCCTCGTCATGCTGAGTCCCGAAGAACAATTTACCGTGATCAAGCTGTCGGGGAATGTCCCGAAGACGCCCAAGGCGATCAAGACGCTGTGCTTGCAGCTTGGCCCGGACTTTATGCGCGACCAGGTTGGGACGTCCTGTGTGCCGCCGCGTCGGTCCAACTTGTGGGAGGTAGATCACGGTCGAGACATCAGATCACGCGAGGCTGCGCCTCACGATCGCGTACAATTGGCACTTTGACGTTGGGAACCGGGATCAAGCGACGGCGGCGCGCCTCTTTTCGGTCCGGGACTTTGTCGGTGACGCATGCAAGACACTGGCGTCGCGAATTCGCGGGGCGGTGGCAGTCGAAACATTTGATCATTTTCACAAACACAGCGGTAGGCGGCGGCGATGGTTTTCGTCGTGACCGTACGATCGTAGCTCAAATCATTCGGACCGCGATCTTTGGCATCGACTCGACAACGGGCAAACTCAAACCGCATTTGATCTTTCCGGCCAACAACTTGTGCATCACGAACGTTGACATTCAGTCGGCCGAGCCCGTCGATGCGCAGACGCGCGACAGTTTGCAAAAGTCGGTGCAGCTCGCGATTGAGATCACGACCCAGTCGCAGGAAGCCAAGGCAAAAGCGATTGCGATGAAGGACGAGGAAGAAGCCAAGGGGTTGCTGGTCACCCAGCAGTTGGAGAATCAAACCAACGCTGAAAAGGCCCGCAAGCAACTTGTGGAACTGACCGCCCAGTGCGCGGCGGTCGAAGCGGAAGGGGTCGCCGTCGCTCAGGCCAAAGCTCGAGCGCAAGCCGCGGAAATTGAGGCGGAAGCGGCCGTCAAACAAGCCAAGTTGCGTGTCGAAGCGCAGAAAATTGAGCACGACGGCATCATGTGGCGGCGCAAGCAAGAACATGAACTCGAAGTGCTGCACGCCAAGCAAATGGCCGAGCTCGAGCTCGCCAAGAAGAAGGAGTTGATCGCGATGGAGGCTGAACAGTTCAAGCGCATGATCGACGCGATCGGGCAAGACACGATGGTCGCAATGGCCCGAGTTGGCCCCGACGCCCAAGTGAAGCTGCTCCAGGCGCTTGGGCTGCAAGGCTACCTCGTCACGGACGGGAAAAGCCCAGTCAACTTGCTCACGACGGCTCAAGATATGATTAAAAACATCACGGAGACCAAGGACTGATGGCACAGTGTGGCTTAATCTTGTGAATATGGAGCGTGCGTGTGGATGTTGAATTCCCACAGAGCGCCGATGCCAAATGCGTTCAACGGAGGACGGCACAGGGTGAATGCGCGTCACGCATGCTTTCAATCTGGAGGGACGGCGGCGAGGTGTACGTGATCCAGCAGTCGACGCAAAGGAAGGACCTGTTCGAATCGAGTGCATGGCACATCCCATGCTCGCAAGTCGAAAGCAAGGTAAAGAGCGCCGCTGCACGGGATGAGATGACGTGGGATGTATACCTGTCGTGATTCGAGCGGCCGGCACGTCCAGCTCTGCCGCTTTCAACCATTCCGGCACTGCATGACATCGTTTCAGGACGACGGCGCTTCTTTCAGGTTCACGCGCCAAACCCATCCATGTCAAATTTGCAAACGTTTTCCTAAAATTTTCATGAAATCGGGGGTGAGGTCAAAGGTACACTAAATAGGGAGTACTTTAAAATAGTGTGAAATCCCCGACAAGTGCGATCTTGACTTGGACCAGTCATTTCAATAGCAATTGCCCAAATGTTGCGCAGCGTGGTGGTGCTCCGCGGCGTTCCTCGCAGGGCGGCGGCGACGTTGGCGCGCCCAGCGTCTGTGCGTGCGTTCTCATCTCAAGAAGGTGCGGAGGATGGCTCGAAGAAGAAGTCGACGACGTCGCGATTCCTCAAGCTCGCGGATCAAATCGAAGTGAGCAAGATGTTGGCGCCTGGCGAAGAAGAAGTCGAGTTACCCGACGGGCACGAAGAAGAATTCTTTGTCGACTTGAATCCTGGTGGAGTTGGGTTGGACGAGCAGGACAACATCCGCATCTACGAGCAGTACATGTCCAACCCGTTGGTGTTTACGATCCAGAAGCTCGCGACAGACAACCGTGTGTCGGTCGAGCGCATTGAAGCAACGATTGTGTTCCAGGGTATCGAGCGCGGTACGTCTACATTCGTCATGTGTTACTCTTTTTGACGTCCTTCACGTAGGTCTCTCGATCAACGAACTACGTGAAAAGGTGTTCAACATCAAGGAAGCGAAAAAGCAAGAGATCGCCGAGGGCATCAAGAATCCCGTGGCGTCTCTCAAGTCGACAAAGGGCGCGAAGAAAGGTGAAAGCAACAGCATTATCAACACGACGCGATCCTTCGCGGACGACGACGACGAGGTCGCTTTGCTCTCGAACGAAGAGTATGAAGAAGCCAACAAACCGGATCGGTTGCGCGAACCCAACTTTCTTTTCCTCCGAGACGACATGATGGACGAATTGCCGCCGCTCCACCGCCAGCTCCGCAAGCAAAAGGGCACGGACCAACTGACCGTCGCGGAAGCCATTGCGCTTCAACGCGGCGCCGAGAACAACAAGGTGACGTTGCTCCCGAGCTACTCCAAGAGTCTCAACCCGACGGGCAAGTGGAAGATTGCGATCAAGGACATCTCGACCAAGAAGGCGCCGCTTTACATTCGAGACGTCGATGGCAGCTACCGCCTCGCGTCCGACGACGAAGTTGTCAAGCGCACGTGGGTGAAGCGGCCCCCGTTCTTCCAGGGCATTGAGCGATATGTTTAAACCGGCCAGACTTGTACGATTAATTAGACAAACCAGGACGTGCCTTCCCATGGTCTTTCCCGCTCTGACGGCGAGCGCAATTTCCGTCAATGTCGCTGCATTCGAGTGCACGCATCATCCGTCTTCCACGAGATGAGAGGGATGCGCTGTCGAAAGGCGTGTACCTGCCACAGTCCTGCTGCAGGAAGCATCACGAGGCGATCCAACGCACCACAATGCCCACCTGCGCGGTTGTGTCCCAACGCAAACGCTTGGGGGTGTGGCGGATTCAATCCGGGCGGTTCCTATCAATACGAGGAACGCCCGTCGACATTCGAGCGTCGACACAAACTGCATTGTGTGCTGGTGGTGGTGGATGCAACGGAAGCAGCGACATGGTCAAGGCCGCCATGAAGCACGCGTGCAGTTGACGCGGACGTGCTTGGAGACGTGGCAGCGACTCGGTCGACGCTGTCGACATGGGGACATCGACAACGCAAACGACATCCCCACGAAACACGATTTGGAAGCGCACGACGTGATTGCAGAAACAGTTTGTGCGTCGCTTCGATCGCTCCGCTCCAAACAACGAGAGCAACAGTGCTATCGGCACGATTTCCCCGCGATGGGCAACGGAGGCTGACCATGCCGAGTCGGGGTTGTCGTCGCGATGGCTGGGAGAACGCAATGGCGAGCATGCAGCCAACCCATCGCAAGCAGGGAACCACCGCATTCCTCCTCCACCTCCTCGAATCCTGCCGATGGCGGTCGTCCGTACGAAAGGTCAAGTTCCATCTCGAACGGCAAAGTGCACCAGGTTTGACGTAAGTACATGCAAGCACCAGAACCACACTGTCGCCCCTCTCTCGCCGCGATCTGCTATGTTTCAATGCCAACCAACACAAAAACTACTCAGTCTGTTGTTGAAGCGTTGCTCGCCCATTCCGTCAAGCATAGAGACAAGCAAGCGCTTTTCGCCACCGGCATAGCCGGACGGAAGCACGCGGTCCTTTCACTCGGCAGGATGCCCCCCACCGACGACGACGGCCAGAGACGACCGAGGCGTCCCTGGGGGTACAGCATTCCTGGCAACGAGAACCAGCCAGCATGGGCGTTGGTGGGACCATTCTATCCAAAGTGCCCGGATTTTCCAGCCCCATGGGACCTGGGTTTCATTTTTGTAACACTCACGGCAGCGCGCTCTGTCTTGTCGAAAGAAGAGCCGCCAGTCGCCGCGGAATTCGTCGTACCACTTGAAGATGGATCATGTTGCGCTCGGCATTGCACCGATCGACCGTCCCGTCGTCGAAAGCTGCTCGATCGTGTTCATGTTTCTTCTTTGTGCGCTCAAAATGGCCATGAACATGGCCTAGGCTGCGCAGTGGGCGGCACTCGGACCGCTGCTTGAAATTCTTTTGTCCACGTCGGCCGTCCAAGCTGTGCAACTAATCGGGCCAACGTCTGGCTTCCTCGTCGCCCCGTCCATCGGGGGTCCTGTCCGATGCGTGCACGAGCAAGTGGGGCCGCCGCCGCCCGTTCCTCTTTTGGGGCGCCGTGACGTTCGCGTCCTGCTGGGCCATCATGATGAACGCGTCGGCCATTCGCGAAGCGATGGGAGATACCACAACTGGGGGCCGCTCGTGGACGATCGCGGTCACCTGCTACACCTGAATGGAACATTGCGGTAAACTTCACGCAAGTCCCTGTGGGCCTCATCATGGCCGACTTTGCTGGCCGCCAGCATTGGCGCAGGCCACTCGATCGCCAGGTCATTCGCAGTCTCGGGGTACAGTTTCTTGTTTGGACAAGCATCTGTCGATGCAACCGTTCATGGGAATGCTGATTGCGAACATGCTGGTCATGACGCGGTTCGTGTAGGACGCCGACCCGTGCGGGAAGCCGGGCGCGCTTGGACATGCACCCCTGAACAAAACGAGTTCACCCACGTCGCTGGGGGCGTCACAGACACGATCTTCTGGTTGGCCTTCCTCGCCACTCTGCCCTTCCTCACGTGCGCAAAGTTGGAGCCAAGTGGGTCGTCACGGCGCCGATCGTGCCCCAGACCCTCTTGATTGTGATGGCATTTTGCCACCTCGTCATCGTCGACATGACGATCGTGGTGGCGTGCAGCATCACTCAAAACACAATCTTCGACCTCGTCATGCCCATGATCGCCCACGCCGTCGGCCATGACACGGACTACAACCTCGGGTTGTTCGCCGGCGCGTTCAACGCGGCCAACTGCTGCGGCCAGTTTCTCAACATTATCTTGTCGTCGATCCTAGTGCAGTCCGCGATGGGCCATGCATCGCCCATGCTCGTTGGAAGTGTCCTCAACATCGGTGCGCTTCTCATGCCGCTCTTCACCCTCCACGTTGACTTGCGGTCCTTGTCATGCTGACGACCGCGTTCTCGGTGCAGCAGCCCTGGTTGGGGTCTTTTTCACCAACACCAAGATGTACATGAAATTTCTGAGTCATGTTTTCCATCTTACCGAGCGAAAACCTCAAGAAATTGAGAATTTTCTTGGTTGTCCAAGAGTCAATTATGACACACAATTTTCCATTTATTGTCTTCAAACTGACCCACAAAGTCGCCCCCCAAATTGTTTTTACTTGTATACTAGTATTCGATAATTCGACATGATATTTGCTCAACATTTCCCGGAGCAATGATGTTTTTTGGTCGATTCTTTATGCCAGCGCTCCATGCTGTTGATCAGGCACATGCATCGATAGCATTGTTCACTTACATAAAAATGGGACGATTCTCCATCGACTTTGGCCAAACCTTGAATTGGGTTTACACTTATGGGTTGATTGGCGAATGGATTCAATTTGCATCACATTGAAGGGTCGCACTACGCTCCTCCCGGCAATCTTCGACGGGTTCCTCGACTTGTCAACGACGGTCTGGATCATTCTCGTGGCGGTCGCGCTGCTTCCGATCATCTACATTCGTGTTCTCCACGAAGCGTACATCGTGCTGATCACTGGCTCGTCGGCGACAATTATCGGAGATATAAATCCTTCAATTTGGCGTGATCCAACAAGTATGATGTCAACATTTGTGGACCAAATCGTATATTTTGCAGCTAAATTCCCATCTATTTTCTGACAATTTGCCGAAGAATTTCATTTGACATCTGAACCACGGCGATGGCACTCCATCCTGCATTCGTCCCAGCCGAGCACTCATGCGCTAACGATAATGGCAACTTGAGGTTTCCTTGCAAGCACGGCACGCCCTTCATTGCAATGGCATTCGTGTTCGGTATCTCAACCGGTTGGAAGTGTGCATTCGACCATCACAACCAGGACGCACACGATGAAGGCCAAACAAGAAAATGGCAGCAGCCACACGGCCACCATGACGCGGTACGGAAGCCAGTCGTGGCTGGTCCCGTCGCTCTGTGGCAACGACGTCGAACCAATTTCGAGTTTGATCGCAAGTGGGACGAATGCAGCATACACAACGGCAGCTTGGGCGAGCCAAAACCCCTGACTCCATCGCCGCCACGGCGTGTCCGCGCTTGATGCGGGTGGCGGCAACAGCCATACCTATATGTACCTTCAGCTTCGCCGCTGCAGGCATGACGAGGAACGACTTACCAAGGAGATGAAACATGACAGGAGCACCCACAGCGGTGTAAATACGACAAACCAGTCGACTGCAATAACTCCGTCCGCCTTTAGCGCCGCGGCAACGGCAGTGACGCCAAGAAGAGCCTGCCACTCGCACTGAACGAGACTCAAGACGGCGTGCAGGGCCAGAGGGGCTGCGATGACACTCCAGTGCATGCTGTACGTGTCCAGCATGTGGAGAAAGAACAGAATTTGGGAGATGAGCACCGCGATGACTTGGGCAATGCAGCATGCATGGAAGAAGCGGAGCGTTGGGAACGCAACTGCCAATGTCCACATGTACCGCGTCCACGCAATGGCGTACACGAGGTCGAATATAACCACAGAGAGGAGGACGTGATGCCATGTGTAAAAGTGTTCGGTCGGCGGTATTGTGGAAGCGGGAATGGATGGCCGATGGCCCTTCTTGGGCATTGGGGAATCGACATACGACAGTTTGTCTGCGACCAGGCACACGACAATCCCTACATGGGTTGGGCATGACGGCAAAGTCGAGAGAACACCGGACTCACCAACACAGATGGAAGCGACGTGCAATGGAATCGGCGTCAACGATTCAAACGCGACAGTCGCGTGCCATTGCTGGACTATCCACTGGCCCACGTCTCCTGATGCGTTCGACGGTGATTGCAATCGGCGGGCATGGCTGGTCGAAGCCGTTCCAGTCGTGCTTTGTTCGATTGCCACCAATGCAGAAGAAGGCGACGACGAAGAGAGAGGCTGTCTCTCGCCAGTCAGACGTGGCGCACGGCGAGGAAAAAGCGCTCCATACCCACCGGACGGCGGCGTCGGCATCGTGTCCTGTTGGTTGACTTTGTTGTGGTGTGTTCGATCCGGATAAATTGGTGTGACGGCAGAATTCCGGATACTGCGCCACGTCTCGTCATTGCAGAGAACTTGACAGGGTACTGGAGAACGAGGACCGTCATCGGTCCTAGGTTCCTTTCAAACGTATGTGGCTAGCTAGACAGAGACTCTTATAGCCGAGCCAAAGCATCGCCATGCCCTTGAAAGGTCGTCGTGACGCGATCCACCCTGTCAAACCCTGGCAGGTTTTTCGTCGACACAAGAAATCGGCGTTGGGATGTTGGGAATCCGAGTCGTTCGTGGTACAGACGGTCCTTCGTATTCCACACGCCGGGGACCGTTCGTTTGATCGGTTGGCAACACAAATCGCTGGCGCATGTGCTCTCGGCAATCGCCCCCAAGGCGGGGCGGGCCTCGCCACGGGCATGAAACTGCTATCGGTTTCAAACCCGTTTCGAACACATCGCACTTAAGAGGGACGTGGCCAACCATTGGTGAAGAGAAGGAAACAAGTTGGGCGGCAGATCAGGAAGCAAGCCGCGGGATGTCGAACGAGGACGCGCCAAAGAGCAAGAAACACAGAAAGGACAAGCCGTGGGACTCGGACGATATCGCCCACTGGAAAGTTGAGGTAAGGTCCCCCGCGCGCATCGCTCCGTGTCTGTTTGCATCGTCAAACGTGGTGTCGCGCGTAGTCGTGGAAGGACGAGGACAACAAGTCTGGTATGCTCGAAGAGAGCTCGTTCGCGACGCTCTTCCCCAAGTACCGCGAAAAGTACTTGAGAGAAGTGTGGCCGATTGTGACCAAGGCGCTCGACAGCGTGAAAATCGCGTGTGAGCTCAACTTGATTGAAGGGAGCATGACCGTTCGGACAACGCGCAAGACGACCGATCCGTACATCGTCCTGAAAGCACGCGATTTGATCAAACTCCTCGCGCGTAGCATCCCTGTAAACCAGGTAGCGCGTTTACCATTTCCGTCAGTGCATGCCTGCCGTGATGCTGAGACGGAACATTCATTCATCAGGCGGTCAAGATCTTGGACGATGAAGTCCAGTGCGACATTATCAAAATTGGCGGCCTTGTGCGCAACAAGGAGCGCTTTGTCAAGCGACGACAGCGCTTGGTTGGTCCAGACGGCGCCACGTTAAAAGCGATCGAGCTGCTCACGAACTGCTACGTGCTTGTTCAAGGCAACACGGTGTGGCCATTTATTTTCTTCGCCACGCACTTCTTTCGGCACCAGTATCGCTGACTCGTTCATGCGCCGCAGGTGTCGGCCATGGGACCGTACGGCGGCCTCCGCCACGTTCGTAAAATCGTCGAAGATTGCTTCCAAAACGTGCATCCGATCTACAACATCAAGACGCTCATGATCAAGCGCGAATTGAGCAAAGATCCAAAGTTGGCTGGGGAGAATTGGGACCGCTTTCTGCCTGTTTTCAAGAAGAAAAACGTCCAGACCAAGAAGCCGCACGTTGTCCGCGAAAAGAAAGCGTACACGCCGTTCCCGCCGGCGCCGACGCCGTCCAAGATCGACAAGGAGATCGAATCTGGCGAGTACTTCATGAAGGAGCATGAGCGGAAGGCCATGAAGCAAGCGAAGAAAGCTCAGGCGAATATGGAAGTCCGGGTGCGCGATCCATACCTTGGCGAAACACAACACGATTTAACTGGGGACATGGCCAGGAGCAAAGGAAGGCCGAAAAGGCAGCGGCTTTTGTCGCGCCCGCCGAAAAGAAGCGCAAGCGGGCGGACGATCACGGCAAGTCGTCGTCGGTCGACGAGCTCAAGAGCAAATTCCTCGCCCAGCAGGTACGATTGATGGCAGCGATGGCGCTGACCGCTTTGTAGGGAGCCAAAGCAGCAAAGAAGACCAAGTCATCGCTGTCCGATTTTGTTACCAAGTAACGAGAAAGTTTATTTGGAGGAACGGGTCGAGGGTGGCCATGCTGGGATTTCGGCGAGCTGTGTTGATGAAATGCTCAGGACTGGGTCGAGTATGCTACGTTGCCGCCACTCGTCCCGCTCATGTGGTTCCAAAGGACTTACATCCCTGGCGCCGCGACGCCACAGTGGCAGGTTGTACGAATCGATCCAGAGAAGCCTGAGGGTTCCCGACTTCACTCCCGCTCACTGCCCCCCTGAAAACTTGCCATTGCCACAATCGCGGCGAACACGATGGGAGTGGCAAGGGGTCGTATGTCTGTTGCTGTGTGTGGCATGGGCAAATTCGAGAAAGCCAAGTCGGTCACCTGCATGCCGTTTGCACGGTTCTTGCGGCAAACGCCCACCGGCACCCGGTCACGCCGACTCCGTCCCTATCCTCGTCCTTCGGACATGCCATGCCATGAGCCAACGAGCGCCAGAGCTCGTGCTTTGATGGGTTCGCTTGAGAGAGAAGCCAACAAGTCCGTCTCGTTGGGCCATGTGCTGGGGGACCGTGTTTGGTTAGTCTCCATTCTTTTCGCTGCCGCGTTTGGCAACGCGCCACGCGGCCATGGGAAGCGTCTGCAGCTTGTCGACATGTCTGTACGCGAGGGCGAGCCAGACGATGCCAATGATCGTGCAGACGGCGACTTCGACAAAGTACCCGTCCGTGATGATCATGCAGCGGCCGTTTTCGAGACTTTCGCACGCGACTCTAGCATCGTGGTCGCCGCATGAATTCGTCGCGTCGGCCGAGCACAACTTGGTGCTCAACGAGTCGACAAATGCGAGGCTGACCGAGTTGGGCCACTACACACGCATGGAAATGTCAGCATTTTGGCAGGTCACAGCGGGCAAACGTGCGCCATCGTCAAACGCTCCGTCGAGCGATGGCGTGGTGCCTGCAGATTGTGCAAAAGCGAGAGAGACAGCGACTACCTTGGAGCCGAGATTCGAAATCGTGTTGAGGAACGTCATGTACGTGCCGCCGATCGATGGGTCGCTGACTTTGGCGAAGAATGCCATCTGCGGCACGTACATCAAGTACGCAGACACTTCGTGGCAGGCGCCGGCGACGAGGAGGAGGATGTAGTAGTAGTAATGGATGTCTTCCGTGTGGCTCATCACGACGGGCGTCAAGTACACGATCGTGGCGTAGAGCAGCCCGACGACAAGGCGAAACGGAATGGCCCAGAGGAAGAGCTCGAGCGGGCGCGACTTGTCCATGCGTTGGGAGATGAGCACGGGGAGAAGCAGGCCGAGTGGGACAAGGACCGGCGTCAAGAGCGCGAGCTTCTCCTTTTGGACGCCGTACTCGACAAGTTTCAACGACGACACCGAGTCCGTCGCGGCGAACGCGACCTTACACGTGAGTTGGAGCGCTGTGAGGACGAGCACCGATGGCAGCTGCATCACAGTCCACATTTGATGGTACGTTTCTCGAATCGTCAGGTTGTGGTCCGGATCGGCCTTTTCGGCTTTGAAAAGCCACACCAGCACCGTCGTCCCGAGCATGACATAGCCCCAAAACGACATGAATCCGGGCAGGGTGACCAGGCCTACAGCACCAGCGCACGTGAGGCATCCCGATGAATGTCGTGAAATCCCCGACACGCTGGAACAACACTGCCACGAAAACGCAAGACTGTACGAATGAAACAAAGTCGCAAATGCGGTAATCCCAGGGATAGCGCATGGTTGCAGTTGGAGGGAATGCATGGCACTCCTCGAGGACATCGAAGCAGACAGATGAATGATGGGAACCATGCGGCAAGGGGAAGCGCATGCCTCGGCCATCAAGGCAACGGGCTGTACCTGTGTCGGGGTTGGGGTCGGGGCGAAAATATGTGTTGCATGTCGTCGGGTCGTTCAGCGCGAGAAAGCCGACGTAAGCGATGAAGTAGCCCAACGTTTGACCGATCGAGTTGCACGTCGACGCGTACGAGACGTTCTTGGCGCTGAGCATGGTCAAGGCCCACCCGTCGACCGCGATGTCTTGGGTTGCCATGAGAAAATAGAGCGCGAAGAAGAACGCCGTGAGTTGATGGATATCGGGGACTTCCATGTCGAGGAGCGTCCCGACAAACGGCCCCCCTAGAACACGAAAATTCCTTCAGCACACGGACGCTGTCATGGTTTAGCAACGTGCCGTAGATCATGAGCACGGAACAGGCCAGTTGGACGGGAACGAGCCACGACTTGCGACGCCCGAACGACTCGACAAAGAATGAGTCGACGATGGGCGCCCATAGCAGTTTGAGGCTGAATGGCCACGACACCAGACTAAACGTTGCTTGTTCGGCATATCCTACCTACTCATCGCGGCGTGATATGCTGGCGGACACATGAATCACGGGCCGACATACCTTGCTTTGCAGGAGGAACGGCACACTGCTCGAGAGACCCATCGGAATGCCTTGCAGAGTGTACAGCACCATGAGCACTGCGATAGACCAGACGTCACCTGCTTCCCCTGAAAGTGACGGAGACGGAGTGGCCCCTTGGCCCTCCGGCGCAGACTCGGACGTAGCCTTGGATGCGGTGGCGCTGCGCTTCTTGGCCATCGTGCGTGTTGAACTGACGTGAACGCGTGGCTGCAGAATGTTGGTCGGCCAAACATCATTGGTCTAGATTCAGCGAATCAGAAATCGTTTGGAGTGAATTTTAGCGAATCAAATTGGTGCAATCCTTCCATCCAATCCCCGTCACAAAACTATAGTAATATTACTACTTACTGTTAGTAGTAGGAGATCCATTCGAAAGTCGAAACAGCAGCGACCGACTGGGAGACTTCCGCAGTGGCGAAGGTGCCCTGGGACGATGGCCTCACGTTGACAAAGCTACATCCCCTGGTCGACGTTGCTGTCGGTGTCAAGCTGGTGAGCAAGCACTCGAT